ATTCTACAAATAATTTGTTTACAAAATAAATGCTTCCTTGAATATTGGAGTTTCGACAAATATGGCCTCATCAGTTCAAATCTTTCCCTTACTATGTATAGTTTACGAAATATCGTTGTATCCTATAAAAAAAAATGTATAGGGTACAACGATATTTCGTAAACTATACACTACTGTACTATGCAAGAGATAACATTGTCCAGGTAATACAAAAAAAGACCATACATTAAGTTAGTTTTAAAAAATCTGTCATTGCATATTTAACAACAAATTGTTGCTTCCTTATTTCACTAAACGATGTTTTAAAATCTAAAAATAACAAATAAAAATATTGTGTGAATATCACAAATGTATTTAATCAGACATTTCTACAATAAATATTGAAAATTCTCCTGGAAGCATATTCTCACACTTAAGACAGTTAGGTTACGTTTGACACTTGTGACAAGCTACGAGTGATCCGTCATCACAACGAAGCGGCAAAATTATCGAAATTTTAAAGCCAACTGGATGGACAAACTTTTATAATCATAAATCACCTTATTATTATTATAAGGATAACAGTCTAACTATACTGTTGTTCTCTCATCCAATTAACCACAAAAATCACTTCTAAAAACTGTAGAATCTTCAAAAAATTAAATCTAATCCAGGGATTTGTAAAAATGATGTCAAACTGGAAGCTGTGAAGATAAATGCCTAAAATTAATTAGAATTGCAAATCTACTGAATGTGTATAATACACTTGTCTTCTTAAAAAAAATGAAAATTTTTTAGGAACGTAAAAGTTTAAAATTAATTCAATTCAGTTCAAACTCAATACAAAAAAAATTGGCCGAAGGTTATGTCAATAGGACTTCCCTCGCCTCTGAAGCGCAGCTAAATAAATCCCACTTTTTCAAAGAATTATATTTTTTTGCATTTTTTTTTTTTTTGATAACCTCTATAAAGTAAAATCCACTGGCGTAAATATTGGTCCCACAGTTTTTTTGACTTGAATTTTTCAGTTCTTCAATCTCTCATTTTTTGGTTTCTTCATTTTTTCGATTTCAAATTTTTCGAGTTTTCAACTGCTACATTTTTCAATTTATAGATTTTGCAATTTTTCGAATTGAGTTTCTCAAGTTTTCAATTTTTAATTGTTTAATTTGCAATTTTTTGTGTCAGTTTTTTATTTTCTTTATTTTTACAATTTTTCACTTTTTTTCAAATTTTTTGTTTCGTGAATTTTTCCATTTACAATTTTTCAACTTTTTGTTTTTAGATGTTGCAATTTTTCTATTTGAAATTTCACGAGTTTTGAAATTTTATTTTTTTAATTTTTACATTTTTCAGTTTTTCGAGAAAAATGGGAAAGTACAAGTTATTCTACGTGGCTTATATTAGAAGTACAGTCCAAAATTATTGAATAATATATTGGCACTATGTTTTTTATTATAATATCTCTTGTTCTTTGTGCCAAAAAATTGCTGAAAGAAAACTGTGTACATAAAGAAAAAAAACAAAGATTAAGCTCCACTCGCCCGTCCCGATTTCAATTGTGATGAGTTTTTCATTCTTAATCAGACGAGGGAAGAAGTTTAATTGTAAGATCAAAATTTCTCTAGAAAATTCTACCCTTTTAAAAACATATTTCATATGGTAGTTTCTTGTAGAGAAATGAGAATTTTGCAACCAAGCTCACGATGAATACAAAATTCCTCACAATTGAGAAGGGGCGGGTGGCCGGGGCTTATATTTTGTCCATTTTTTCTCAATATACCAAGTCTTTTTTGCCAACAAGAAACTGAAAACTTATTAACTATCCTGTGGTTGAAAGAAAACTCTATATGTTAAAAAAAACAAAGATAAATTAAAAAATCGGGAAATCGGATATTTGAGAAATCCAAAAATTGCAAAATTGAAAAATTTGAAAATTGGAAAATCGTAGAATTGAAAAATGAAAAATTTGAAGAATGAAATAAACGAACGAAAAATTGGAAAATTGGAAAAGACATTGAAAATATAAAGTAAGTGAAACGAAAAATTTTTAATAAAATTAAGAAAATGAAAATTAAAAATCGGGAAAAATAAAAATAAAAATAAAGAACTTGAAAACTGAAGAAATTGAAAAATTTCAAAAAGAAAAATTCAAGATACGATACACCGAAAAATCTGCCAGCGTGAAATTGACAAACTGAAAAAATTAGGGTCGGTTTATGGAAAGCGAATTAAATATTGAATCCTCGATTAATTTAACATAAGACTCAAATGTAGAATATGAGGCCATGATTGGTTAAAACATGCACGTTGCATAGCAACGGACGTCAATTAAAATTATCGCAATTAACTTTTAATATGCTTCCCATAAACCGGATCTTAAAGTCACAAAATCGAAAAATAATGAAACTGAAACTTTGAAAAATGGGAAAATTTAAAAATGAAAGAAAATGAAAAACCAACTTAAAAATTAGTCGAAGGTAAATATAAATGCAGATTTTTCGAAAAATTATGAGATTTGATTTTGCGAACTTTGTTTTTTTATGATAACTCTCACAAGTTAACATTAAAATGTGTATGTAATGTTAAAGTAAATGTAAAAAAGCGTGTTGGGCGTACGTTCCAACTCAGTTTTCTCTTAATAAAATTTTGTGATGACGTCATCAACATTTATGTAAAGACACGTATATGACTTTGGATAGGTGCAGTATAATATTAACAGTATCAGTACTGTATTCCCAAATTTTTTGGAAAACGGAGTGAGAAGTTCAAGATTTAATCAATAAAATAAATTGACTTATTCACGAATTTTTATGAGTCACTCTTTGTAAGAAATTTAAAAACTTTTAATGGAATCATAAATGATAAATCACAAGTATAGACTAATCATATTTTGAACATTTTGGATATGATTTATTCGGCAAAATTTTGAGATGACGTCATCAATTTTTTGGGAAGGGATAAATGAATAAATTTTGCTCAACGATTTACCATGATTACGATCTCCTTAAAATATTTACAAGATTTCAGAGTAATCGGTTTTGCAGTTTCAAAGTTATATTGCAAAATATTGTTACTCAGTCTGAATTTTTTTCAAAAATTCTGGATGTCCAGGGTGAAAAGTCGACACGGATTCACACACCACAAGTACAGGCGTATCTTATTTATAAAATTTAAAAAAACTTTATTATAAATTTTGGAGATAACGTCATCCCATTGGTGGTAGGAATGATTAGCCAGATTTTAGTTAGCGTTTAACCAGCTACATGCTATTCCTAATATACATACAAAATATTACAACAATCCATCCAGTAGTTTCGGAGATTCCTTGTTTAATAGAAATGGCTACATACACCAGACAGACAGACAGACAGACAGACAGAAAAATGGAAACGGGAGACAACATTTTTCGTACTCTAGAGGTCACGCTAACGCTCGGGAAGTAAAAAAGAAACATTTGCGTTTAAAATGTTATATTCAAGTTTTAAACTTTTGGGGTCAGTACTTAAAAACATTTGCTAAAAATATATCACGAGTAAAACTCAGACAAGTTCAAACTTTGAACGAATATTGGTCACTTGCACGCCGCGGTCATATTCCCAAATAGATCATGGGACACTTGCGCGCAAATCTGTCGTTGTAGCCTCCTACATTAGTTTTCAGCGTTTTTGATAAAAGTTTATATTAAAATTAGATCCACTAATAATAATTTAATTGATATTCATAAAAACAAAAAGACCAGCAGATTCGCTTTTGTAAAAAGTATTTCGTACGAAAAACAATAATAAACATTATCACAGGAATAACTGTTGGTGCTGATCTTAAAATTATATGCAAATCTTGCGCGCAACTGTCCTGTGGACCTCCTACAGTTTTCTTGACCGCAGCGCGCAACTGAACCAACCAAATTTAATAGTTATTAGACGAACCGTTTCTGAGTGAATAGATGAAGTAAGGTGTTTAAATACAGGGTGTTATTGAAAGGTACGTACAACAAAATAGGAAAAACTTATTTTGTGTTATCAAAATTATAAAGGGAAAATTAACCCTTATCCAAACTTTTTAGACGCTACTGAAGGATAAATAGGTAAAATTAATTTATTTTAGTAAATCCTAGCAACGGTAACAATAAAACTTTTGTCAAGACTAAATGTTGCTACAGAAACGAAAGATGATCTTTTTATCAGAGGCGTACAACGAATTTGGACATAAACTTTAATAATTTTTATCTCTAAAAGGAGAACACTTTTACCTGAACTTTTTTTAACTTTTAGCACCTATACTTCGAGACCAATTGTTATCTTTCAATAACAGGTTGTATATATGATTATAAAATATCGTGCATCAAGTTCGTTTTCAAAAAAACTGTCAATGCGTTTCGATAAGGATTTACCGTTTCCATGAGTCACCAAACACACTGAAAAAGGTTACAAAAATTTATGACAGGCGCCGACGGAAATTTGGTTATGATTAACATTATTGTAACAAGCGAACACTAACGCGAAAATTAACGAAATTTCGAAGGCAACTTGATGTACAATCTCTTATAATTACATCACACTGTATATTATTTTAACAAATCATATCACAAAGTAATATTTATAAATTTTTCTTATAACGTCATTCACCTTAGCTCAGGTAAATAAATTTTAATTAATATTTTCTAGATATTAAAGCATTTTAATATTGTACCAAATTATCTAAGATTATTATGTAATTATGTAATTCAAAAACAGTTTAGCTCGATGCTCGATTATTGATGCTCAGATATTAACAGACAACTTTTATTTTTTTCTCCTTGATATATTCTTCTTTGCGAATATTCACAAGTTGTGTCAATTTTTTTAATGTTGTTCGAATAAAAAAACACCTCGGTTTTTTTATTTTTGATTTATTATTGTTTTAGGTCCACTGGAATTAATAAGCGCCATCTAGCCAAAAACACTTTTATAGTGGCGCCATCACACAAGGCATAGTAACACTATTGGCCTAGATCTGCCGATAAGGTTTACAGATGTCTAAATTTTTCACAAAATCATCCTAACCTATTTTTGAAACATAACCTTTTATATTAGCCGAAATTTTCTAAAACAATTATTTCCAGATATGTTTAATAAATCAGCATTACTACGAATATCATCGTTATTATCTCAACCAGCATCAAAAAATTTTCATTTATCATCAACATGTAACGAAATACGAAAACTAGCAAGGCTTCGAGTAGTAGATAATAGTGAAATAGGTAAACGAGCCATGGCCGAGGGTAAACCACCACGATGTATACACGTATATAACAAAACAGAGGTTGGACTCATAGGTCTGTAACCCAGGACACATTGTATTTGTTCTAAATTATTTTATTTTTAGGTGATAGAGTGCTAGTGGCAATCAAAGGCGAAAAAAAGAAGGCTATTCTGGTAGGCTTAAAACAGAATCAGAAACCTAAAGTTCCAAAATTTGATAGCAACAATATTGTGTTAATTGATGACAGCGGAACCCCTTTAGGTACACGAATTCATGTCCCCATTCCTACAATTTTAAGAACTATATTGAAAGAAAGAACCCATGCCAAAGGCGCTGATTACACCAAGTTGCTAGGCATTGCGTCAAAATTCGTTTAATTTGAATATAATTTGTAGTGGTGTGATATGCAGTAAATATACACTAATTTTAAGATTGAAGTAAAATTAATAAGACCTGCAACAGAGTTACTGAAATTTGCGCTTCTCCTAGATGTGAGTATACTGTGGTATTTCGCAATTTAATTAAAACCACAGCGTATATTTTATTTAATCTGGTGGTTGTCTAATAACAATACATCTGGTCCAAAAATAACTATGCATCAGTTCGTTTTATACCTTACAATGTGAAAAAAAAGCTTGCAGTTTAAAGTATATGTGTATGCACTTAAAATTCACAGTAAAAACATACTAATTTACTATTTAATACTTAAATAGTAAATTCTCGATGTTATAACTGATTATTTACAGAGTTAATTTAAAATTATTGTATTACATTTGTATTATTGATTTGCGTTTTTAAAATAGCTTTAACTAAAAATATCGTTTTTGGGGTAGAAACAGTAAAAAACGTAAATGATAATGGATGAAAGCACACTGATGTATAAACTTGTTGTGTATAGTTGGTTGCCTAACCCAGCAGATTACCGATTTCTATTTAATAGTGATCAGAGTTACCAAAAGAGGTCCCTTTTGTATAAAGTTAGTTATTAAAAGGTTACTTTTCAAGACGTGGCAAATCTTAAAATGGACAAATGAAGAGAAGAACCATATAAGTCAATGAAAGTGAAAATTATTAATTTATTTATGACCACACTCACTGAATACGGCGCTCTACTTTATTTGCTCAATGTCTGTCTACCATCCATAAATCTTCCAGATTTGAATCACGTTCTAGTCGGTCAAGGCGTCAGGAATTTAAACGAGGTTCAATAAATGACGTGTTTGCAGTAGGCTGTGATTTCAAACAGCCGTCAATTTCATGCAGATGTCAAATTTTTTCAATTTGAAATTATTTGAAATAATAAAAAGTCCACCGTATTTGTAATATTTTATTGAAATATTTTGTTTTTTACAAGCGACACAACATAATGATCGAAGCACATAACCATAAGTTAATGTGTGCAGTGATTATTTTGTCGGACCATACCACAATAGAAACAATCAAAGTTACTGCAGCATACGGAACTGTAGACAATGATAAAATAAAATGAGATGAGTGTATGAAATATATATGTTGCAATAACGTTGTAGCTTCAACAGAAATGTCATCGATCAGCAATTATCGATCACGTGGTTTACAGAACACACGGTAAGTAATACTTTTCAAGTGTAAAACTCGTGTGATGGACAATTGCTGGTAAATTATACAAGTTATGGAGTGCTGTATCAAAAGCAACAGTTTTCGAACAGATACAAGCCCGCAAAATAGCCTGTGGCTAGTACATATACTAAATTAGCGTTATAATGTTATCAATTTTTTATAAATACAATCACAGTAATAATGGGAACCAATTAAAGAAACGTTAAATTTAGTTTATCAACTTACTTTACATCCATCCAATAGATACAAAGTAGACTTATGAAGTACATCTATATAAATATTATTACTATCTTTACACCCAGTCTTGCGTAACTTTGTAAATACTCGGGGGTAATAAAGAGAAAGCCTTGTCCAGTTAAAAAGCCCAAAATTATTGAGAAAATTATGACTACCATTTGCCCACGTAAAGTAAAAAAGATGGAGGAACCTTCTCTGAACAGACACGACTGAGTGCATAATTTTCCTAATCTTTCAATTGGATGATGCAAGTAGACACTCAACTCCCAACAATAAGATCTTGCGGGTGGTCACCTTCGACTTATGATAACCCTTTTCAACAATTTCCTACGTCAGTAAAAATATACTACTATAACAACGGCCACCGCACAAGTCCATTCCCAAACCTTACCTAATCTAAGTTTATTACTCATGTTATCGCAGTTACTCAGAATTTCAGTACTGTCCCGAGTCAAGCTTGGAACTAATTAGTTTTCAATTTTTTTTAGTATAAAAAGAAACTCAGCACACACCATATCCAATGTACACACTCATGCAGGTAATGACAGAAGTTACAAATTCACAGAGAGGCAACAAGTTACAAACGGGATCTTGCCACCACATTATTACTACTCGAATGTGTGTCGGCATGTGCCCTGATCATCAGAACCGAAATATCCTTTATCTATTCATATAACGAAAAACAATCATTAGTATTTTGAAACTTCATTATACGTATACTAATTTCTTTTAGTATATACATCGTAAAAACATATCTTAAACAAAAAACGGAGGAAAACCAACTAAAAAATGAAACATAATTTCTCATTAGTGCTACAGTACAACTATGTCTATCGCCGATAAACGGCCTTTTCCTAAAAGTAAAAATATATGTACAAAAGGAACACAATTTCACTACAATTTCTAACTTTATGATAAATATATTTTTGGCGTTTCAAATAAAAAGAAACTTTACTTTTTTTAAGTAACAAAAAATTCGTAAAAAAACCGTCATTAAAAATCTGAATTTTCAAAAAAATCGTGGCCGGCCGCCGTCTCTCTTCTCCGACGTGAGAAATTTGAAGATGTATTCGACGAGATTAGTAGGAACACTACGTCGGCGTTTCAGCGGCGGCGGGCCGACCTAACACTGTTTGCTTTTGCTGGTGGGGACAGATCCCGATTTCCCTTCCGGGATTATTGGCACGTTGCAGGAGCATGAACGTGCGAAGTGGATGATGCGGGATCACGACGCCTGCTTAACAACAATGACGCCCGGTCGCGACTGCTGGCTCTGCTGCACCTGGAATCAATTAACCGATCGTCAGCAAAACGCCAACTGACTCGACCTATTCATTCACCACTTTTTTTCCACACTAATAAAATTTTACTACCTAATACCATAAATTACAGTCGTCAAACGCTGCACAGGGGCGTATACATAAATCAAAATTACTATATTTCTAAAACATAATCCGCCTCAATGTCCGCTGCTTTTCTTCTTCTTTTATTATTATTTTAACGATTTCCGTCATCGTAATAACTACAAAGCTTAAGGTACTAGATTTTAAAAATTAACTTCATGCAGATTTTTAGTGAACACCCCCATATACAAGTTACATTTTGTTCGAAATGACGCCAACAAGCTATAAAATTTTATTAGTATGCAAAAGTAGTGTGTGAAGAATAATTCCAACGTTTTCGATCCGTAAAAAATGGTGTAAAGCGAGGGAAACACAAACATATTTTTGCGTTTGTTTAAGTACGTATAAGTTAGTTATTTCAGTTTTCTGCAACACAATTACCAAAACCACGCTTTGGTAACTTAAAAATAAAAGAACTGATTACAGTTTAGCCGTTAAGTTAAAAAGGTGCTAAACCAAACTTTGAACTTGCTAAACAAAAAAAAAAATAAGAACAATGAGAAATCAACATTTTCAACCCTAAAATAAAGGAGATCAATTTAAATTTACCACAAAAAGGTTTGACGTTTGTTAATCAATAAATGTGTGTAGATGAAGTTAGCCAAGGTCTGTGACACACAGTAGATCCAAACAGGTTTCTACAATTTAATTGTATTAATTAGAAAACAAAGGTATTTTAATGATGACAACATCTTGAATGTTTCTGAACTCAAAACCTCGTAACTTTTAGTTTTATATTCCAGGTCAGTCACATGTCTTTGACGTCATACTTGCTTTCATTCCATTTTAAATTGCTGACTCAAAAATTTCAAATACTGGAATGTAGGATTTTCACTGTTATTCTTGCATTTGCATAGATAGAAAGTTTAAATTTTATTTTATCGCTACTTCAATAACAACAAAGGTCTGGTTTTTTCCACCACTACAACACAAACCCGCGAAAATCACGCGTCAAATCCGCCCAAAAAAGTTGGGTTAAGTTTAACTATCGCCGCTACCAATTTTCTCCGTTGAAGACAAAAGCGTCGCAATATAATCATGTCAATATTGTCAATCAATCAACATTACCTTCTTCACAGATACAAAAGCAACCTCCGTTTGATTCCAACTATATCAAACAAATTTCGCTTTAGAACCCAGCTGTCATTCCAAACGTCATTTTTATAGGGAATTTTACATGTAACCAACAAGCTACCAACACAATTCAACACATGGTGCATCTTTAATAAAAAACCAGCCTTTACACGCACTTCCCTCGTTCTACATAAATAAATTAGCGAACACAAAATAAAATGAAATAGTTTATCACACACCATCGCCGCGCTGAACTCCATCAGGGTGTTCATCCTCTCGTTCTTCGTCAACGCCAGCGGTACCTCCTGCGTCAGGGGTTCGTCCCCGAACAGGTGATCGCCCTCTAGGTGCCGAATGGCCTCCACGATGGTCTCTAGGTTCTGCCGCGACGTGTTGGACGCGTACAGGCGGCTGGGGGTGGAGTCCTCGTGACCGGGGTTGGGCGACGGCAACCGCTCCACCTCCACCTTGGGCTCCGCCTTGATTGCCGCCTCGAGCACTGAGGGTAGCCGCTGCTCGGGCGGCTCGGGACTGGGGCTCCGAGAGTTCTGCGGAGAGCAAACAACGGTTTGGGTGTGCCCCACCGGGGGTAGGCACTCCGCGCTGACTAGCTGGAGCGCCAACTCCTCCGTGCCCTCCACTTGGTAGATCTGCGTCTGCTGTTGTTGCTGCTGTTGGTGGTAGATTTGGCTTTCGAACTGCCGCACCTGGTGGAAGAGTGATTTCGTTAGTTTGATTACAATCAGTTAAGAGAGAGAGGTGTGTCATGACAAGAGAAATTAGCCCGTGTCTTAGTGTCATCGTTAATTTGCCTATTCAACAGAGCTGTACATAAATAATACACATTTTCGAGTTTTCGGGTAAACTTTTTACATTTGTATTTTTCTATGCATTTTTTATGTTTAATTCGGGTTTAGTGTACGCACCTAGGCCGTCAATTGTCAAGTCGAGAAAGTGGAACTTCAAAACGGCCTTTTTTCAGGTACATCGCAGGAAGCTGGTTTGGAGTTTGTGCTTGGAGCCCTCTAGTGGATACTAAGATGCAACTTCTTCGAATTACGAGTAAAAGTTTTCTTTAAAGGCTGCATCAAAAAAATATAACCAACACTGTATTTTATCTCTCAAATACAGCCGGCAACATCGAACCATCTTTAGATGGTTTTAATTATGTACGCACCCAAGAAGGTCTCTTTTTTACATACTATTTTTACTTGACTTTTTTGAATTGATTAATACCGTGTCTACGATAACCTTAAAACGTCTGCAAAATTTCAAAACATTCGGTTTTGCAAAAACTCAACACGCATTCATAAACTACAGGTATTTACGATGCACAATTTTGGTATGACGTCATCACACTGTTGGTGAGGATGATGAGACAAAATTTGGTTAGCGTTTTACCATCGGATCTATTTTTTGGTACTCTAGAGGTCATGAACTATTGAGAAAACATTAAAGTAACTAGTCGCCAGATGGACTCGATTACACTCGTGAATCGACATTTTATTTTGACACAGAGTTTATTAATATTTCTGTCTGACGTCTACCGTACCACTTGATATTTAATGACTGCCACCAACACTGGCTTTGTCGGCACTAGCGGGATCTGACAAGTGATTTTCATTTAATACAACTCATCGACCACTTGATGGCAGTGATCAGATGGACCTTTCACAGCTCACTGCGATGTGTTTTTTTTTGCCTAGTTTAATGAATGAACATACTAAACCTGAAATATACGACCACGGTTGCCTACTTTTAATGCCGGATTAACTCAATTAACTAATCAGTTAAAAATGATTGCAATTCGAAACACATATGGACAGCTTCTGAATCCCGGGCTATTATCTAACGACCTATTCCTGTACAGCACCTGTTCCTGCAGGACCATCCTCAACTCGCGTTCCCTTTCCAGCTGCCGCCTCAGTTCGGTGGGAGATTCATTCGAGACGTTCACGCTGATGATGCTCACGGGTTCCGGAGACATCGAGCCCAAGCCTTCGTCCGAGGACTCTGCCGACAACGTGGGCAAAATGATTTCAGTCTTCCTCTTCTTCGGCGGCAGTTCGCCGCCGCCACCGCCGCCACCGCTGCCGCCATTCGTGGCGCCCTCATGCTGGCTCACTAGTCGCTTCAGTTGGCAGTTCTGCGATAAGAGTCTTGTCTTCTCCTGCTCCAAAGAGTAGATGTATTCCGCAGTCTGTTGCAGAATTGCGGCCTGGAACAAGGAAAACGCTCGCTTACGAATGCAGTTTGTGAATTGGCATTAACAATGTATTAGCTATTTGCAAGTGCTCCCATTAGACGGCCCCCGCACGACCGAAACGACGTAGTATCTTATTCTGATGTCTTTGACATTTTCAAGGTAAAACTGCACGACGTAACGTGCTATGCGGTGACGGACATGTGATCGACGAACCGGCACTAGTTGTTCCTTATTAATTTATTAAAACCTTCATCAGGTAATGTAAGCAGTTTACCAAATGGTTACTGCTAATGAATGACATTAGAGTTTGTTACCTTGGGAGAAATTCACCGACAAAAACGAAAAGAGTTTAAAATCGAAGACTCTGATACGTAGAAACGTCAAATTTGGAACTTGATTAACGACTTACAACTAAATCACACTAATGCAAAGTGTTGGGGGAGTTTTATAAATTATGTATGAGCTTTCGAAAACTTCTTGAATTTGTGTAAGTAACCACAATGTGACAAGAGCCTGGATTTTCCAATTTTAAGATCTCTTCAGAAATCTAGTTTCATGAAATACCGAGAGTTAATGATTGACCCAAATTTTTGTGTTGGCAGTTCTGAATTATTGGCATCCATGCTAGTACGTCAACAAACGGGTTGATTGGCAGCTGTCACAAATGTCACTTTGCCAACCTGACAAACAAAATCGCAAAGGTTAATAGCCACTCACTACTGTATTCTTAAAAAGCCATAAAACAAAATTAAAATTTAAAAAACTGGCGTACTTTTTACCATGAAGAATCATGAATAACGCCAAAATGTTGTTTAGTTTTGGTAATCAAGTTGGACAAAACGACTTTTAAAGATGTAAATAAGGCATATCTGCGGCATATTAATCCATTATTTGGTTGCAATAGTCCTTACTTTTATGAATATAGAATAAATGTACTGCAAAAGAATAAAAACTCGTCAGTTACGCTTTAATAAAATGTCAGTAAACCAGTCACAAACAAAACAAATTTAATGAATAAAACTACGCGTACCGAGACATCGAAAAGCGAAATTAGCCATTTTTGAGCGGTTGTCAAACCTTTCTATATTGACAGTTGTAAAATTTTACATGATTTTTTCATCGAGTTGTTCGTTAGCGAATAACTGTTGTTTAAATGACGTCATAAAGCCAATTTTGTCAAGTCCAGCTGATCATTTTTGTGGATGTCAAAAATATTTGGCGTTTTAGCCAACTGATTTTTTGATTTCCCAAAATGTATCCATTTAAAGCGACTGGAACGAATTTTAAATCATATGCTTAAATACCGAGTGGGTATTGATGTGTGATGTTTTTATTATTACGTTGGCAACATATTTAAAATTGTATGATGTCATACCTGACGTCAAATTGAAATTTTGGGCATCAAGTCAGTTGCCATTTTCAACTCGTTAGTATTTCAGACGCGCTCATGTCAAAATTCAATTGTGAACTGTCTGACATGTCAATAAGTTAAAATTGCCAAAGAAAAATCTGCTTCACGTGGTATCGCGTGATCAAAAATGACCGAGTCTGTTGGCTATTCTGGATTTTTAGTTGAAATTGGAATGATGATGTTTTCTATAATTTCCCATTGTTAGTTGTGAAGATTGACATTTTTCATTTACAAAATGTATTCAAAACATAACCTAAATTTATCGGATGTCTCAACCACGGTTGTAGAATAGATAGGTTGATACACTAGCATACATTTGCATATCCCTGGTCAGCGACGCCAATTGCCGATCGCGTCGCCTGGTTTTTGACGTTTTAGGGACACAGAACTCTATAGGCATCTGTCTATAACCGATGTAATTAATAAAAGAAATCGTATTTATCGACTCCGATCAAATGTCATTTACAAATTTTGTATTGTTCATAAAGCAATGTAAACCAAAATCCCTAAAATAACTAGAACGATTTCCGCTCGACAAGGTAGAGGCGCTAGCTGTCTGTGTCCTTTCCATGGATATAGGGATCGAAAAAAAGCGTCGCCATCCCAAGCCATTAGTGTACAAACCTATCTATTCTACAACCGTGGTCTCAACTGACAGATCTGTCACACAATTGCTTCCGTTACGCTAACAGAAACTCAAGAAAAGTTCACTTTTTTGTTTAAACAGTACTACCACCAGACTCAATCATTTATTATCATGCGGTACTTTAACATTGCATTTTTTGTGCGACTGTCTGACTTAAAAGCTAATGACTCCGCAAATAAAAAGAAAAAGAAAAGTGTTACCACAACCAATCTAATCCTGGACATGTTTTGCTTGGCTTGGATATAATTAATAATAATACTGTACCTATTTAATGCATTTAGAGTACCGGGTGAGTACCAATGACTGATTTTTTTGTCAAGTTGGCAACATATTTAAAAATTTATAATGGCATATCTGATTGTTAAAATAAAATTGACAACTGTGAACTAACATATTAACATTGCTGCCAATAATTCAGAATTACCAACACAAAAACTTCCTCCAATCACCCGGCATTACAGTAGACTTCATGTAAATCTGACATTTATATAATAAATTTGGAATCGAGTTCCCACAAATGTTATCAAAAGATCAAATTTTAATTGCAACACCCTATTCATGTGATTTTTTTGCTGAAAACTTTCAATATGCTTTGGTTTGAAGGATTTTTTCGCCATGATGATTAATCAAAAAAATCAGTAGTTTTAGAGGCTTTCTGTGTAATAAAAATCGACATTAACGACAAACAAACGGAAATGGGAGACCTATTTTTCATACTTTAGAGGTTATGCAACGTCGATAAAACAGTCTGTCACCAGATGGACCAGCTTACGCTACGGAAGTAAAAAGAATAGAATGCCACATAACCTCACTTCAATTTGGCACCAGCTGTATATGACAAGATTGCTTTTATATCATCAAACACCATACCGTAAGACAACACCTAAAAACTGCTGCCTAAATTTTGTTTTTTGTTGGTTTTACGTTGGTAATGTTCACCTACGCCTACTGAAGTTCTTTACGGTGGCTCAAATACCGCGTGACTATTAACAGTAATTGAAAAAAAAAATTGTGTTGGCAATTCTGAATTTTTGGCAACAATATCAGTTCACAGTTGTCAGTTTTGACATGAGCGCCCTAACAAACGCGATGAAAAGATGACAACTACAAATACAATATTAATAGTCACTCAGTACTTTAAATGTATGTAATGCAAACTAGTCATGATCTTCTGCTCAACCGTATCTTTTCAAAAATCTAAGTTACTTTTTTTGTAAAATACCAAGTCATTATTAGTGATTGAAGCTGATTTTTGTGGCGGCAATTCTGAATTTTTGGCAACAATGTCAGTTCATAGTTGTCAATTTTGACATGAGCGCGCCTAACAAACCTGATGAAAAGATGACAACTACTGACTTTGTGGCATAAATTTCAATTTGACATCAGGTATGCCTGATAACCTTTTAAATATGTTGCCAACCTGTCAAATCACAAACATTAATAATCACTCGGCATTTTAAATGTATGTAAGGAAAAAGGGGGGCAACAGTTGTCAAGGCCAGGGCAACAGTTTTCAAGGTCTGATCAGCCTATCTTTTCAAAAATAGTGCAGTTACTTTTTTGTAAAATACGGGGTGACTATTAATGATGTAAATGTGTTGTGTTGGCGACTCTGATTTATTGGAAGCAACTTTACATGTCCACAGTTGTTAACGTTGACATTACAATCGTGATGAAATGACTTGGTGCCCCCAGTTCGATAATCAATTATACTATCATAAAATTTATGTTGCCAACCTTAACTAAAAAAATAATCATAATTATTAATAGTCGATTATCTCTTGAGACTTGAAATTGTATTGAACTTATGAGTTATAACTGACGTTAAAATAATTTTTTGGTATGGAAACTAGTTTTTTTCTATAATTATTTACAACAAATACTGTTTGAATTTGCAATAGAATTAATTAACTATTACCGAAAATGTTTCCCACCACTGCCGAACCTAATCCAAACGCTTGACGCTGTCACTTTTAAGCGCTCAAAAAAATTAGGTCATGACAATTTAATAATCAGTAACAAATTTTGGTTTAAACTAAATGTCACTGTCAATTTTGACAACAGGAATTAAGGTCGGGTGACAGTTCTACCAATTTCAAGGAACATTTGTTGTACCAAGTGCAGCAGCCATACCATTTTATTACCTTTGATATAAAAATGTACATTGAATTAAAAAAGCGTGAGTTCTTGCAGTAAATAACGTTTTAAATTTTAGATCACCCACAAGAAGTGTGAAAAATAATCATAAACAAAAAAAAAGTGATTCAATAAATAAAATATGATATCTACAAAAGTGACATGCCGCCTTTAACACTTGTAAACATCTTTTTTATACAGTAAGTTAATGATTACTCGTACTGCGTAATTCGCTCAATAACGTCACCAAAAAATCTACATTGATTTATTCAAGAACGACTTAAGGCAAAAAATTCACAATTTCAATAACGTAGCTTGGAGAAACACTGGAGTTTCAACATTATCTAAAAATAAAATTTTATCGATCTATTAGTTATTAGTTTAATTATTACATAAAATGGGTATATTTTAATCTAAAATTTCACTTTTATTTTGCAATATATTTGCAAGAAGAAATTGTAGAGCCGCAGAGTGCCAATTATTGATCGAATTTCATTTCGAATCAAAACAGGAAAAGGACAAACCAAACTTCCCTCGTAGAAGAGCAGATGTTCCTCAAAATGTATTCCCGCGTTGGAGCAGCTGCTCTTCGTAGTGCAACTGCACTGCCGAGATATTAGATAATTTTCTAATCCTAGTCAACTACTCAAGTGCTCCAAAGTAAAATATATCAATGAGCCTTGTCGTAAAGATTAAGTAAGTTTTTTCAACTCTCGATAAAGCATGACAGCAGGTCTTCTAAAAATAAAATCGTTATAAAATAATCAACCACAATAAATTCAATACATCATGCAACAATTTTTTTTTCGACGACGAAAA